CTCTGGGATAATTGACAAAAAAGTAGAAAAAAAAGCAAGTCATTTTAGAATTTTATTTTATTTCCTCCAAGTAAAGTTTAATACCAAGGTTGATTTACCATCACTTGCAGGTATGAGTGCCGGTTTTCAGAGCTGAATGCTCATATTCAGGTGTGGTTTTGACCTTGCTTCCTTTTTTTCTTCGATTTTTGTGTTCCATTCTTATTAGCCTATCAGTGCTAACATGCAATACTTTGTCTTCTTAAGGAAAAACTTCAGCAAACTCGAAAATTCTATGCAACCTATAATGCCCTTTTGGAGATCAAAGAGTTGATGCTAAAGGAAACTTCCTTGTTGAATTCCATAAATTCACAGATATAACTCAAATGAGTGAAACTTCTTGCATTTGTTTATCTTCTGTCAAATTTTTGTCTCAGAACTTTAACATCTTGAAGTTTCAACCTTTGTTTCTTCTGAATGATATAATAAGTTGCTTTTAGTTCCTACACACTAATTTTCTGGCAAATAAAAATATGTTAATGTTATTAATGTTAATAAATTTGTACTGTAGCTATTCCGTAATTTATCAGGAGGAAGACATTTATTAACTTCACTGATCTCTTTCTTTGGTTAGGTATCTAGATGCTTTCATTTTCCTTACATTGAAACGTGAAGCAATTTTTAAAATTTCAACAACAATATAAACAACATGAGCAGCACCACCTTGTAAAGATAAAAGAAAACTAATATCGGGTTTACCAAATGGGAACAGGTTTTTTCTCTGTAATCCTAAAGTGGTGATTGTTTTCTTAATCATGTTCAGTGTAATCCTAAAAACTCCAATACTCCTTAGTTTTAATTCTATTAGTACTTCATAGGTTTAACTCTTATTTCTGTTTCCTTACGGTGAAGGAAAATCTTTAATCTAGTATTGTTTTAGTGATACTAAGCATTATTGGCAGTATATCCATGGCCAATCCGATTGGCCCACATCATACTCCAACTCTTGTCACTATATATTTTCTGACCTTTCCTGACATGTTTTTGTATTTACGTCCATACAGTTTCAGGATGCCATTGCCAGCCTTACCGGTCGCATGAAATTACTTGAGTCCATGGAGGTAATTGTAAAGGGCAGCCAACATTTAATGTTACCTTTAGCAAGTTGAAAATAGAAGGGATATATATTCTCATTTCAGTTGGCTCATCTTGGGTTGTTTGAACTACTCATTTGAACCTATACTTTATACTGTTCTAAATGGTGAGAAAAGGCTAAATGAACTTGGATTGTCACCAATACACTTAAGCCGCTGTGTAATGTACAAAACTGCATTGCATAAAGCACACGTCTTTTTGCACATAAGTAGACTTAGGTGTATTCCTTGCAAACAAAATGTAACGAAAAGGCACGCCTTTGTTTTTTGTGCTTCTTTTATTAGTTCCTTTTTATTGTATTGAGCTGTCAAAAACAGACTTATACAATAAAACTAGGGTAATTTTGTGAACTTTCAGGCAATATAATACTGTATTTTAATGATGATCGCTAATTGACAGGGGTAAGGATTTATCGTTATAATATGCTATGCAATACAAAGTTGTCAAGTTTTGGAAGTTTATTGTCGAAACTGTATATCCTTTAGCTTTTTTCATAACTTTTTGTACTATTTTAGAACTTTTAGATATTTGAACCAAACATGGTAACTATTTGATTCCTAGTAATTTGCTTAGCAAATCATACAAACATGTAACTTTGCCTGATTAACTGAATTGAAAGTACTGGATTACAGTTCCATTTCCTATAAATAATGGTCCTAATGTATTTTATTAAGGATGTTTGAGTTTATTTGGGGCTGTAATGAGGCATTCTTTTGCAGAAACTGGAGAAGGTGCAAATTGGTCTTCAGAAGAGCAGAAAACTTGTGATGATCTCAAAGAGAGGTTTACTGCAGTAGCGGAGCAAAGACGCGGCTGTTCTCTCTTAAAAGCATTCCAGGTAGGCAACATTTCGCATATGGTTTTGAAAAAAAAATTGTATTTTGGAGAAGAAATGTTTTAAATTGTTTTGGGAGTGGTTTTGGACAGAAAAGGTGCAAAAATCAAAATCCATTTTTGGAAAATGTGAAAATAAGCTGTGTGCTAGTTTCCGTGATCTAGCAGAACAATTGGATTTGGAGTTTGCTGTTGAACAAGAATGTCAACCTAGGCTTCTTGCTGATGACCTAATTGTTACTATCCATCCTCTGCTACATTGTGTTTGAGTTGGTAATGTGGAGATAACTTGTTCATATTGAATTCTATACCCCAGTCATTTTCTGAAGTCATTAGAATTTGATTGCTCTGGCACCAACACCCACTATGAGTCCTGTACTCCATTTGTTAAAATAATAGAATTGCCTAGCACGGCAAACAATGGACAGTGCCTTTCTGTTTCCATTTTTTCTTTTCATTTTTGCTTGTGCAAAACTTGTACATGAGATGTAAGCAGAAGATATCACTTCACCAAATGGAGTAATACCTGGCCCCAAATTTAGATATCAGTTTAGTGGTTTAGGTGATATTGCATTTTCCTGGTGGGAAGATGATATCTAGTTTTCATCAGTATTCCAGAAGAGGTAGTTGTGTAGCAATGAGCTGAAGGCAATATGATCTTCAGGTGTTTTCATGGTCTTCTTTTTCTGCTTAACTTGGAATTTTTACCTGAAGCTTATAATTTTTCAGGAGGAATGTGCGAGAAATGAGAGGCTTCGGAAAGAGACCTCTGCCTAACTTCAAGTCAACATGTTTGAAAGCATCATTTGTGCAGTCAAAGCTGCAGATTGTACGCCTGCTGCCGCAGGGTTGTCTAAATGGGACCGATCAAGTGTTTCATCTCGGAAATAGTCAGGTGGAGATCAAATTGTCTTGATCAAAAGTTAGTGAGTTACACTTGATTTATGATTATGAAATGAGCAGTAGAACCATTGTCAACGCAAAGAAACGATAATGTAACAAGGCAGGATGCAAGGAAATGAATTTAAACCCACGCCAAGTTCTCAAGCATATACACTATTTACTTTTTATTATTTCAAAAAATAAAAATTTTATAACAATTGGTACGGACTGGTACGAATGGTTGAAGCATAATGGAACTCTGATAAAAACGAAACTTAATTTTTTTTACCAATCTAGAACCAAAACAATTCAATTTAATCCATACGGTTGGGACCACTGCAACCACGAAGAGTGAGTCTTCTGCTTTATTTATTTATTTGCAGAATCTGGCATGTTTTAATATAATTTTAAAGCTTGGGAAAAGTACATGAAACTATGTTCATTTTGATTATGATATTTTTAAAATTTATAAAATATGTTTTGAAATTTTTATTTAATAATCATTCTGTAGCTTCTAAAGTTTTGTGATCGAAATGGTTATTCAAGCATAATTTAATGACTTCTAGTGTATTTTATCCTTAAAGTTTCAGTGGTCGGTTTTGTTATAGGATTAGGCCCAATGAATATGAAGAAATTTCAAAACCCGGTAAATGTTGGCCACAATCTTGAGCTTTAAACACCGCTTCATTTGAGGCTGTAAACGTTACAAATCAACCTTCGAGAATTCTGTAGAAATTAGAAAAGAAAGCGCAGAAGCAGAAGCAGAAGCAGAAATCAAATAAACAAAATGGCATCCTTGAGCTTAACTAGCATGACGCCCCAACCAACAAGATTCTCATTGAAGAACAACAGTTACAATAACCCAACCAAGTTAACTCCAAGGAAGAGACACGTTTTTGTTACATTGGCAACGGCTTCTCCTCAAACCAGTTCATCAATTACATCAGAAAAGCCTGAAATCGAGCTGGAATTCGTTGGGGTACTATGTTACATTAAAAAAAGAACCCATTTTTTATAAAACTGAGTTTTTAAATGTAGAATGTCTGTTATTGATATTGAATGATGAAATATGAAAGCCTAATCCCGAAGTGATGGGTCGTATCCGTGGATAAAGCTAAAGAAATAAGTGGAGAAAAACTGCTGAGAAACATCATGTTGGATAACAAGATTGAGCTTTATGCAGCCTATGTAAGTTGCTTAATATGTTTTGTTTTTGGCAGTTTCTTTTAATGTTTACTAAGTTGAAATTTCTGGGATTAGGGGAAAGTGATGAACTGTGGAGGTGGTGGAAGCTGTGGAACTTGCATTGTAGAGGTATGAATTAAATAAGCTTTGAGTTATTATTTTTTTTTTTTTTTTTTGGATAAGTAGCTTGAGTTATTTTCATTTTTAACTAAAGGATCAAATTCATATCACAATTGCGTTGATCATTTTTTTAATGTTGTTTATAGATTCTTGAAGGGAAGGATCTTTGAATGAAAGAACCAATACGGAACTTCGATATCTCAAGAAGTATGCTTTCTTCTCTCAGTATCATTCCTTAAATGTTCTTAATATGTGTATATGAGCATCGGATTTAGATCCTTTTTTAGAACCAGAAGCTGCTTGCTAAAAAACAAAGAATGTGTCCCATTGACAAGAAAAAGTTTTGACTATTTATGAAAAACAACGATTCCGATGTACAGAAACCAGAATCTTGGAGGCTTGCTTGTCAAACTATTGTTGGAAACAAGGAAAACTCCGGCAAGGTAGAATGCAGAACTAAGTTTATTGCTGTACATGATCGGAGTGTATACTGTTATATTGTTCGACCCTTAATTTTTTTCTCGAAGTACCTTTATCAAACATATATAGAGACATGGTCCACATGATATGCATATACGATGCTTGTATATAATGGAGTAGCTTGTATTGCATGCATCAATGACTGTCCTTGAACAAGTTAAGCATGTCGGGGAATGGAAAATGTACTCCCAATAGGACTTACAGTGTTAATATGTATAATTATCAAATTTTCACTTGTTCAAAAACAAATGAGTTGCAGTGGAAGCGACAGTTCTTAGTGATCTAATGAGTTGCTGGTTTTTGATTTGTTGGTTTTAGGTGATTGTTCAAAGGCTGCCTCAATGGAAGAAGTGAGAAAGAGATGCATGAAATGGCTCTTGGTAAGCCCAACATTCCACATTTGCCACCCATATTTTCATGTGAAAATCTTCAATTCAAGTGTTGTAATTTAAAAGAATTAATCTTTCATCGAATGTTATTTCATTTCAACGAGAATTAAATTCAGAACATGAATGAACTCAATTTATTCAAATTTGACATTTTGACGTTATAACAAATAGATTGACTTTTCATCTCAAGTCGTATTGACGAAGGCAATGATCCAATATGGAAGAACAAATGAATATAAGGCGGCAAATTAGAGATAATCCAAAGGTGAGAGAGCCCTCAGCCACCATACAGTTGAGGAGAGAAATCCAAAATTGTTTGAAATTTCAAGAGGGATTAATTTAATCTTAATTACTATTTAATCGGATAATCCATGCAATTGCAATTAACGAAACGAGGGTCCAAATCCAATCCATAATCACCATCATCATCAATTAATATAATCATCCCTCCCCCCCCCCCCCCAAAAGGAGTCCCTTCAGCTTCAAACTCCACACCTTTCAAAGCTCACTCCTTGAACGTCGCCGTTTCCATCGTCCCCGGTCGCTTCTCAGCTCCAGCAGTCCCTAATCGCTTTCAAGTTTACCTCAATCCTTTCTGGTACGATTTCACTTTTCTTTGGCTTCATTATTGTGTGTGGTGTGTGTGTGTTTTCGTTTGGAAGGTTTTTTGAGTGAGGAATTATAGTTTTTTTTCCTCAATCTTTTTAGGGGTCGATCGGTTTTTGAATATTAGTCAACGGTTCCCCTTTGCGGCTTAAGAAGGAATCGTGTTTCTTGTTGCATGAGGAACCCAGTATTTTCCATTAAGGGTTTTGGTACTGATTCGATCTTAATAGATTTGCTATCGATTTTGACTTTAATAGTTTTCTTTAATTTCTGGGTCTGTTTTGGGATTGAATTTTCCATTCTTGATATTGTAGAAAAAGTAATCAAGGAGCTAAAGAAACTGAAATTGCCACTCCGGTGGAGGAGGGGGGTTCACTATTGTCTAAAGTTAATTCTTTAGGCAAAGTTAATTCCTTTGCTTTGAAAGTGAAGCTGTTATCGTCATTGATAGTTTTAAGATTTTCTAGGAAATGATTTGGACTTACCCCTCCACTTTTTCTGAGATGAAATTTCAAAGAGGAAATGGATATGTGTAGATTTTTAAGCCTATTGCTTGGTTGAGGAAACGGTGAGTTGTTCTTTCAATAATCAGCAAGAAATAGATGAAATGTTTTAAGGCAAATTCATGTTAATATCATGCGGTGGTGTGCAGTTCGTGTAGTTACAAGAAATGACTCTGTATATGAGCATAAGCATCTAATCAGTTTTATCATGTCATCAGTTTTTTTTTTTCCTTTTTTGCTTTCGTTTAAACTTTTTGTGTGAATGGTGATCTGTAGATTTTTCTGATGTTACTTGTTATTGGGCATTTATGTTCAGAAAGTATGCTTAGGTTATATATGAATCCTTTTTGTTCATGTATTAATTAGGATTGACAAGCTTAATGGTGTAATCCTTTCATTAGTTCATTTGGTGGGGATTTAGGGCTTTTAGGTTTTGTCAGTAAAAATGAACCAGTTCAGTATGTCTTTTTCTGTTTCACTTTGTTCAAGCTCTAGCAGCAATTGAATATTCTTGTCCTCTAGGAGAGAAAAAATATATTTGCTCTGGCTTAGTTGAATGTTCATTCTCTGCTGAACAGGAATTGTTAATTTGTCCACATCTATGGTGCCAAATAGTTTTAGTCAATCTTCGGAGCTAGAAAAAACCAAGGGAAAAAGGTTCCCATTGTTTCAGCAGAGTTAAGGAGTGGTACATAAAGCCAGTAACCTTGTTTTAGGTTTCTTGCTTTCATCGTTTCTGGTTGTGTTGGTGAACTTAGATGGGTGTTCCCTCTTTGGGGCGCAGTCTGAAAATCAAACCGACACTTGTCCATTGTTAATGGAGCAACCAAATGACTTTAGTGGGCATGTTATTGACATACCTAGGAGTGGTGATGGTTCTTCATCAAACTTGTCATCTGCAACAACTTCAAATGGGTTGGATGCTTTGCAGCATGCAGACAGACCTACTAGTAGTGCAAGAGCTCTAGTTTCACAACCTTCCCAACCTTCAACATTTTCTTCAAATGGTACAAACTCAAGAACCTCATCTACTGTTAGGAGAGGGGATGCCCGTCGGAGGAGTCCGTTAAATTCTGTTTTGTGGATTTCTGTTGAACTGATTCTTACAGTGAGCCAGATGTAGCATCTATGTTGTCTTGTCTCTGTCACGGAATGAGCATCCTCGTACACCATTGTTTGCATGGATTGTAGGTTATTCATTGGATGTGTAGCAACCCTCCTCTTCTTTACTGGCGTTATCTTCATCGTAACCAGGCTTCTGAGCAAGACTCCGCTCAAAATCACCACTCTTCACATAATAATGCCCCTGTCAGACCCTTTCTCTATCTGTTACAAGGACTTCTGATGGGGGTGCTACATCTCCTAGAGGTGGCCAAACATGGGTGTGATGACTGCCAGGTACAGTTCTCTTATTTTGAAATGAGGGTTAAAGGCAAATAATAATACACTCCTGTCCTAAGTTATGCGTGTTATATTTGTTAAGTTTTAAGATGAGCATCCAACCTAAAGCCAATTAGCAATAGTTAGAGTAACCCTTGTTATATTTATGTGTCTAAGATACCCTCAACCATAGTGAGAATTTAATGGATCTCCCGTACAATGCTGCCCCTCATACGTAGAAGATAATGAACCCATCATCTGACATGATCTTTGTCTGTCGAAAAAATGATCACTTTCAGTATTCAATCAGCTGATTTTTGTATTGCAGAATTAAACCAGTAGTGGAATACCTCAAAATGGTTCTAGATTGCTTCTTTGCCGTTTGGTTTGTGGTTGGCAATGTCTGGATCTTTGGTGGCATTCATCTGCCAGTGAGGCTCCCAACATGTACAGGTAGTAGTCGTTGCGAGGATCTATCACAAGCCAGAGGAGCTACACCTGAATCCATAGAGGCTTTGCCAACTTATAAGTTTAAGGTGAAGAAAAATAGAAACGGTGGATGGTAAGGAAATCAACTCAGGTGCCATTGAGGGTGGTGTCGTGGCTGCAGGAATGGAAAAGGAGCGTGCCATCTCTGGAGAAGATGGAGTGAGTGTTCCTTTTTATTATTGTTTTGATAATTCAGTACGTCTCCTATTCCAGATAATAAATAATGAGGGTCTCTCTTGCATACTTCAGTTTAAGGTGAAATTCATAGGTGATATCGTAAACAATAAATATCTGTAATGTAAACTTTTGCATGTTTTTTCTTTTTATGTATGGGTTCCAGACTACTTGGCCTGACAATTTGCCATCGTGCCTTACTTGCGAGCTCTCGATGACCAATAGGACTATGCTCTCTGCTTATTCTGCTATGTTTTTCGTTTCTCCCCCAATCTTCGTGTATGTACTGATACTATTTGCACTGCTTGGATTTTGGATAGGTCTGCTGCATTGTTGGCAAAATATGTAAACAATGATGAGCTGAGGGAGCTGCCAGTTCACTTGATGCACAAGGAAGTGTGGATAAATGGCTTAAGATCAATGCATCGTGTCCTCTTTGTATGTAAACAATGATGAGCTGAGGGAGCTGCCATGTTCTCACTTGATGCACAAGGAATGTGTGGATAAATGGCTTAAGATCAATGCATGTCCTCTTTGCAAGAACGAGGTTGGGGAGAACATATTGAAATCGATGTCGGGGACGAGCACCACCAGCATCTTGAGCTCACTTTCCGGAGCATGATAACCATCGACGAGGTGAGAGAAGGGTGGGCAACAATAATAGACGCTCTGTGTTTTAATGATTTTAGTAATGTAATACAAAGAAATTTAATATAAATATAGTAGTAGTATAATATACGTATATTGATGCCTTGGAATTTGGTATTTGTACATGCCAGCTGCATGCAGTTTGATGGTCTTCTTCTTATGTGGGTGGTCGTCCCTTCCATTCTTTATGGTTGTCTTACGGGGTGAGACTGGGAATGATGTTGCTTGTTATACTCACACCTGACTGACTGACAGACACGGCAATTCTACTGTCACCAATCCTACGTTATTGTACCACATGGGGCACGTGTCAGAATGGAATTGATTTACTACTATGAACACACGAATACAAGAGCGGAAATTGCATGACCTATAGGATGAAGGGGTGATGGTTGTAGTACTGGGGGTTTCAATGTATTGCGATCCAAACATGTAGTATTCAATGGATAGACAACGGTATAATATTAATGAGTGCAGGCAAACTCCATGAACAAGTTCATTAGCTTTCTAATCACCGAACACGAGGCTTCCATTCTACTATTTTCTATCATATAATCATCCATAGAAATGATACCAACATAATGCAAAACAAGTTTTTGTAACATAAATCTTCCAAAACTTGCGCTAATGAACTCCATAGCATCAATTTTGGAAGGAAGAAAACAACCGAATGTTTAATCAATTAAATTAACGGCCGTTCTAAAAGAAGTTATGATTTAATGGCTTCAAGGTATTAAAAGTCTTGGAACTTGTTGGAAAAAAAATAATTAAAGCCTTTAAAAGTTACATTTCAATTAAATTCTTATGACTTTAAAAGTTATCAATTCCCTCCTTTAACCAACAATAACTATTAAAAACAGTTGAAATTAAACCAATATAGCATGTAATTGTAATGTCTCAAAAACAGTTGAAATTAATCATGACTTAATTAATTAAAATTCAGCCTTTCTTGTTACACGACCGGTGACTAAAAAACAAGATTAATAAGTCAAGTGACCATTGTGGAAATAAGCGAAAAGAAGAGAGGAATTATTGATTAGGCATAATCATTTTCAATTTTCTCTTTTCAATCTCGACTTGTCTTCTTTCTGGTTCAAATTTGGCAATGTCACTTGATTGACTATGCCACAAAGAATAGGAAAAACATAAGGAAAAGAATCAATACAAAAAATATCTTGATCATCAGCCACCTGTTCGACGATATGCTGTTTAGGTACTTGAGCAAAGCTCCCTGCGCTCCCTCCACGTTCGCTAAGGTGTCATCCATGTTCTCATCAATCCTGTGAAGCAAAAATGTCACAGTCTAATCAGTGGGGTTCCATGAGATCAGTCAAGATTCGGAAGGTGATACCATTCTCTTCTTACTGGTAAAATTGTTTTACATCTGTAACTTATATCAATTTCTACAAACCGGTTCTTGTTGAGTTAATGCCAAACTTTACCACAAAAAACAAGAAACTCCCAAGTTCTCAATCAGTAAAACAATCACATTATTAATTCCACGTAATTTTAAATACCATGACGCAGCCACCATTATTTATAATTGATTAACAGTTTCTATCTTTGTTTCCGACACAATCATGCAATTATGTGAAACTCTGCTATTAGCAAAAATCAATAAATCCATGTCATGACAGATAAAGTTCCTTAGAGAAAAGAACCTGATAGCTATCTCTCCTTGCTGAGAAACCAGAGTAGCTAGCTGGTTGAATATGGTGCCTAGCTCATGAATAGTGGATTCGACATTTTGAAGAGCTTCGGCTCTGCTCTGCATGTAGCTGTCTTGCAATGGAACCATTTGTTGTTGCTGCTGTTGATGTTGCTGAAGCAATGGCTGACCCTCCCCATCCATATGCTTTCTATATAATTAAGAAACAAAAATGAAGTTTCACTGTCATACAGAACTTCAAGTAGATGTAGTTCAAAAAAAGAAGTTAAACCTAACTAAATAAAAATAGTCAACAGTAGCTGATTCCAAAAAGAAAAAGGATGAATATTTTAAATAAAAGATAAGCTGTATGAAGAATAAAAACAAATGCGCAGAGCATTCAATCATCACAAGCACGTTGTACTGCACAAAAAGCAAACAAGAAACAGTTGTGGCTGTTATGGATAAAAGAGGGTACAATATTCAATAGTCACAAACTGCTAAAAACGTACAAGATGAAATTTAAAGAAATGTTACACGAGTATCATAACAAGCTATCATCAAACGGACTTGTAACTTCTGACAAATAAGTGATATATTATTTTCTGCGGTTAATATAAGGTATATTATATGTACAAAAGGAAAGTTAAATGCAAAATATCTGAATAAGTTGTTACCTTGGGAACAACTGAGATGAAGATGCAGATCCATTAGCCCATTGAGGAAGGTTACTTGAAGCTCCAGCCACTGATTTGGCAGCCAGGGGTCGCTGCCGTACAAAAGGATTTGGAGAATCCTTCGAAGCAGTGGAAGAAAATAACTGTCTTCTATTCTCATGAACCTTTAAGTTCTGGACAAGGCAATTTAATAGTCGTCAGTTGTCATGGGAATGAAATCTAAACGAAATTACTACAACAAATAGTAGAAAAATGGATCAAATTAAATTACGTGAGGAAAGGGACTGAAAAACTCAGCCTTACCTCTGTTCGCATGGTGAGGACTTCTTTAAACTTTTGTGGCACTCATCAAGCGATTCTTCAATCATCTACCACTGTGGTAGAATGACTAGATGTGTCACTGGAGACACCACCTTTGTTTCTAGAATTGCAAAAAAGTTGAAGGTCTACCACTGCAGAATTAAGGGCAGTAATATCCTGCTTGATAACTGCAGTGAGCTCTTGGATTTCCATAGTAGGGTCATCAAAAACTGAAGTCCTCTTGGCCACTGCAAAGTGAGCAAAATACAGGATTCTTTTATCAGACTGAATGGAAAACGTCTTGGATCATAGTAATTATGGTAAGAACAACGGCAACAAAAAACTCGTATTAATATCTAGTTTGTTTCTCTTCTTCTATGTCTGTCTTTGATGGATGTGCACATTGGATTACATCAAGTTCAGCTGCAACATCTAAACCGAGACAACCAATATTGGAGCTGGATCATTCGCCACTTCAATTATTATGATCGAATTCTAACAGTTGCTAATTCAATTCTTTCGATCAAGTATATTCCTCCAAAAAAAATATTGTTTGATTGAAATAGTTTTAATTATCTTCATTTTTGTACATCCCAATATCCCATAAATCTATTAAATCTATCACTCCAATCAGAAGCTCATAAAATTCTAAGGTACACGCTCCGATAAGCTAAATAGCTTTAAATGATCTATGACTGGCTTACCATCATCTTTCTAAATACTATACCATGTAAATACTCCCCTTTGTAAAAAATAAAAACTTAATTCTAAATGTAAATGAAGCGGGTATACATAAGCACTTACATTT